GCATTTGTTATGCATCATTCACTTGTTGCTCGGCATAGCGCTGGCAGCTGATGTAGTAGTGCTTCTTGAGATGGGCCTCTAATGCAGTTTTTCCCAGATGAGTGAGTCGGTGGTGTTCCTTGACCAGATGCCCTCCAGTTGCTGTTGGAACAAAGATGCACCCATCTGGCATCATCCACCATCCCTTTTCAGTCAGGGTGGCCCCCTCAGCCATGGCCCATTCCTTTTCATTTTTCATTTCATTCTCAGACGTGGAGGGACGTCTTCCGGGGGTGTTAGCACCACGGTGAGGGAAGGGGCTCTATGTCCTCACTGGCTGCGGTCTTGGCTGCCTCATCTGCCAGATGATTTCCCCGCACTATGGGGTTGTCTCCTTTCTGGTGTCCCTTACAGTGCAGGATTGCTGCTTCCTTTGGAAGCCAGATGGCTTCAAGGAGTCTCAGTATCTCCTCCTTGTTCTTGATAGCTTTTCCTGCTGTGGTTAGGAGGCCCCTTCCCTTGTAGATGGCTTCATGTATATGTACAGTAGCAAAGGCGTACTGAAAGTCAGTACAGATGTTGACTCGCTTGCCTTCACCGAGGGTGAGGGCTCCGACTAAGGCATATAATTCAGCCCATTGAGCTGACCATCCAGCTGGTAATGCCTTAGCTTCTAGGACTTCAGTGGTTGTGGTTACTGCATAACCCCCTTTCTGGGCACCCTCTTGTAGGTAATTGCTGCCATCGCTGAACAGCGTGAGCTCTGGATTCTTTACGCCTTGATCCCGCAGATCTGGACGGCTCAGGTGAACTTCATCAGCCACCTCGGAGCAGTCATGGTCTGGCTGCCCCTCTTCCGTGGGGAGAAAGGTTTTTTGTTTTTTTTTTTTCAAAGATTTTATTTATTTATTCATGAGAGACAGAGGAGGAGAGAGAGAGGGAGGGAGAGAGAGAGAGAGAGGGAGAGAGAGAGAGAGGGAGAAGCAGGCTCCCAGGGAGCAGGGAGCCCAATGCGGGACTCGATCCCAGGACCCTGGGATCATGACCTGAGCCGAAGGCAGACGCCTAACCATCTGAGCCACCCAGGCGCCCCCGGGGAGAAAGGTTAACGTCCTTACTGTTTCGAGGATGACCTGTGGGTTTTCGCAGAGGAGCCCTTTGTATTGTGCTAGCCGAGAGTTGGAAAGGAAGCAGTGTCCCTATGCATTCATGAGGGACACAACTGCATGAGGGACCTTGACGTTAAGTTCTTGCCCCAGGGTAAGTTTGTCCACCTCCTTGATGAGTAGGACTGTGGCTGCCGGTGCCCTGAGGCCTGGTGGCTATCCTCCTGCCACGGGGTCCAGCTTCTTTGACAGGTAAGCAACCAGCAGTTGCCAGGGTCCAACAGTCTGGGTGAGTACCCTGAGCACTATTTTTTCCTTTTCAGTCCAGGCAAGGGGTTCTTGATCTGTTCCCCTTAAGAGATCATAAAGGGGTCTTGCCATTGCTGAGAACCCAGGGATCCAGATGCGGCAGAATCCTGCAGCCCCCAGGAATTCTCGTAGGCCCCTTTTTGTCTGGGGCTGTGGCAGGGAGATGATGATGCTTTTCCTCTTTAGCCCTAGTTCTCTCTTCCCTTGGGTGAGGAGAAAACCAAGGTATTGGGCCTGTAGTTGGCAGATTTGTGCCTTCTTCCATGAGGCTTGGTATCCCAAGTCTGACAGTTTTTTTCTGAGCCACTTAGGTGTCCTCGGGGGTTGCTTTTTAAACACACAGCTTCTGGGATATTCCCCCCATCCCACCCATTTTGATTCAGTGGGTTTGCATAGGCCGGATAGTATTATACCCAGTGCTCATCACAACACATGCGCTCCGTAATACCCATCACCTGGCTACCCCATCCCCCAAATAGTTGCCTTTTTGACAAGGTCCTCCCAGGTGACTCTTATAAAGGAGGTTTGGAAACAATGTCTAAGCCTTGCTGTTCAGAGTGCGGCTAGTAGACCAGCAGGATCTGTATGGCCTGGGGTATCTTGTTTAAATCGCCAACGTCAGCCCTAACCCAGACGGACAACCGGAATCTGCCTTTGAACAGTGTAGTAGCTTGGCTTTTCATCTGACCTCTTCTTTGTTTTCATTTTAGTAGGGTTCCTCCCCCAACTTCCTTGCCCCAGTCCTCTCCAGAAGAGCCAGTGTCCCCTGCCTCTCCCTACCTGAGACCTGTCCCACCCCCGGGGGATGCTCGCCCCAACCTCCCACCACCCAGAGACGACAGGGAAAGGTGGTCTGTGAAGCTAAAGAACCTAAACAGCTGGAGATCTTGCCTTGTTAGAGAAGGCTGACTTGACTCCCAGGTCCTCCGACCTGCGCAAATTCCAGATCCCCAGGCCTGTCTCATGATCTCAATTTTGGTTGCTCTGCTTTGTCTCCATCAAGTGCTCTGAAGCATTTCACACACGACTAGGCTTAGGCAATTTGGCCAGATCTTGGAAATTTTTGATCATGGTGTCTAGAACCGTAGGTTTACTCTGCCCTGATCCCATGGTGATGTCCCCGTGTGTGGTGGCACAGAGACGGGGGGGGGGGATGCCTCCTGAGATGAGGAGACCAATCGGATGCCCGTCTGGCATCCTGAAGGAGCTTAGGGGAGGCTTAGCCTTAGCGGTCTCAGCATTGTGACTTACGATCGTAAACTATTCCGATCCCGCCATAGACCGCATGCCATTCACCACGGAATCACAGACAGGCCCACTCAGACTCCGTAGGCTTCTGGGGACCTTAAGGGTGTCCGCCTGTGGAGTCAAAGAATCAGTCCGCTTGAGCAAGCCAGGCTGGACTGCACGTTCACCCACACATTCACACTCCAGAAGTTATTACATTCCGTCCCTGGGAATCCCTACCTGTGAGACCTCCAAGAGGTCTCTGGGAGGTGATCAGGCTCCCCTTCCACCCCAATGAGGGTGGGCCTGTCTGGGTCCTGGGGCCCCCGGCCTTACCGGAATCCGACGTTGGAACCTGGTCCTCACCTGCCAAGTCTCCTTGAGTCCGGCAGGAACAGCGGAGCAGGGCTGGCCGGAGGCGACCGGGGCAGGAGACTGCCGAAAATTAGGCAGGGCGCGCCTTCTCTGTTACGATCCCTCCTTCCATCACCGCCCCGCTGTTGCCCCCAAACCGGTGGCAACAATGGGCCAGCGTGGTTGGGTTTCCCGGTCAGGGAACCAAATGTTATGGCACCTGGACTGGATCGCCCGACGGAAGAACCAAGTGGCACCCGGAGATCTTGGAAGATCGGAGATTTAACGCGGGAGGGCTCAGAGGAGAATGGTCTCCAAATGTCTGAGCCCCGAGCACAAAGAAATACATTTCTGCTTCCACATACTTGGCACTTTTGGTGCACGCACGAAGCAGGGCAGGGAGAACAACCCGGACTGGTGCGCGCAGAAAGCAAAGCAGGGAGAAGAACCCGGAATAGCCCCAGGGCAAGGTCTGGGACGCTCTCACTGCTCGGTCGGCCATCTTAGGACACAGATTTTCCTTATCAATACAACCCAAGACCTGACCATCATGAAGAAATGAATTGTTATTCTATACCAGTAACTGCTAAGATATACATGTATACATATTTTATTGATAAACTACCCATGAAAAAGTAATTTTGTTGCATCTAAGACATACCAAAGCACTGGGGATGGATATAAGGGGGAAGTAGTGGTGGAGAGAAGGGGCAGCAGTGGTGATTTTCAGCATAGATTGCTGCCTTTGCAGTTCTATGGGATTAAACCAAAATAAATTGTCCAGTCTTGTATTCACTACAGTTTCCGATTTTCAATAGTTCAACTTACGATTTTTCTACTTTACAGTGGAGCAAAAGCGATACCCATTCAGTGGAAATCATACCTTGAATTTTGATCTTTTCCCAAGCAAGTTGAAATGTGGTACAATATTCTTTTGTGATGCTTGCAGCAGCAGCTGCGACTCCAACTCAGCCCTAGAGTCGCCAGGGTAAACAACCTATGTACAACCATTGTTTTTCACTTTCAGGACAGTACTTCAATAAAGTATGTGTTATTATAAAATAGGCTTTGGGTTAGAGGATTTTGCCCAACTGTAGGCTAATGGAAGTGTTCTGAGCACGCTTAAGGTCGGCTAGGTTAAGCTATGATGCTGGATAAGTTTATTAAATGCATTTTCAACTTACCATAACCAGAGGTACCCCATCGTAAGTCGAGGAAATTGGAGAAGAGGAAAGGATGGAACAACCAAACTGTGAGGCTAAGACGGTGAAGTCAAGAGGGAGGTACCCTTTAAGTACGTTGCTGACCATGCCTAGAAGACCTGCACATAAAAGCTTCAAGTTGGGCTGTCTGCCAATCATCTCTGGTCTGCAGTCGCTGATAATATTTAGGGCTACATTCCCCCGTGTTCATTTGCATTTTTGTACCACTGCTTGGCAAGGGTCAGATCTTGAAGGTCTCTGGGTCTTGGCTTCTTCACCTGTAAAATATGGGGCTTGCATCACCGTGGAGAGTTTCTGGAACGCACTCGGACTCGCAGCAGCACGCCGTTGTGGGAAGCGGAGCGCGGCCCAGTCCTTAACCCTTTTTGGCTGAGGCTGGGGAGGAGGCACGGAAAGCAGGAAGGTGTGGTTCGCTCTGAAAGAGCGTGGGAAGGGGGCGCACCACAGGGCGAGCGCGACTTAGCAGCCCCGGCGCCGCCGCAACCTGCGGGCTTCGCAGCTGCGCCGCGAGGCGGGCCCGGGGCTGCGGAGACCCTGCCGACTCGGGCTCCCGCGGTTTTCCGCTCGCAGACCTGCGCACACACTACCCGCCCCCTCGCTCGCCAGCCCCGCCCCGGCGCGCGGAAGGCTGGGCTTTGGCACAGGGGCGGACCCCGCGCACGCTCCCGCCTCTCTCCCCGCCTCCCTCTCTGGGTCCCGCCCAGCGGCGCAGGGGGCCGGGCTCCGGAGAGGGGGCCGGTGGCCGTGGCGGTGACAGCCGCTCCCCGCCCCTGAGGGTCGCCACGTCCCTCACGTACCGCCCGGGCGAGGCGCGGAGCGGCGACCTGGCGGCCGCGGCTCCGGCTCCTCCGGCGGGGCTCGGCATGAGGCTGGCGCGGCTGCTGCGCGGAGCCGCCTCGGCCGGCCCGGGCTCTGGGCTGCGCGCGGCTAGCCCCGGCGGCAGCCGCAGCCTCACCTCGGACTCGGGCTCCGGGCCCGCGCCTGAGAGCGGCGTTCCGGGCCAGGTGGACTTCTACGCGCGCTTCTCGCCGTCCCCGCTTTCCATGAAGCAGTTCCTGGACTTCGGTGAGTGCGGCCCGGGCCTCGGGCCTTTGTGCGCGGCCCTGCGCGGGGAAATGCGGCCCCTAACCCGGGCCGGCCCCGGCCCGCGCTGGCCCCCTCTCACCGCCGGCGCACCCCTCCTCCTTAACGTCTCCTCCCCCAGCGCTTTAGGTGCTTCCTTCCTCCCTTGCGGGCAGATCCTCTCGCTCAGGTGCTGGCACAGGCGGGCCGGGGGCGTGTGCCTTTTTACTGTGTGTTGAAAAACAGGGAGGGCCGCGGACCGATTGACCTCCCGCCTTTCAGCGCACGTGTGCAGAACCGTGCTCTCTGCCAGGTCCCTTCGGAAGAGCCGAGCTCCGGCTAGAGGCAAGTGTGTGCACACCTCCGGGAATCGTGTTCCGATTCTTCAGAGTGATGATAAATGCTCAGTTTTGTGTATGATGATTGCATAAAGTTGACATGATGATAGGAGAAGCAGGTTATAACTGGCCCGAGTGCTTCATAGAATGTTTTCCTTGCCACTTTTTGCCTAATAGTGTTTCCACCAACAGCATATTGATTTCATCATCAGCATAGTCTGGAGCACATGTGAAGTGCGTGAACACCAGTGCTGTGGGGATTGCCAGATTTCACCCGATCCACTTTCCTCTTCCTCTGGTGGACGCTTCCTGGTTTTCTCTAGAAAGGATGCAACAGATTGCAGAGAAATTGCAAAGTTAGACTTTTTGACTTCTCATATGGGGGTGTTGAGGGGGAAAGGGAAAACTAATATAGTCGTAAAATTTCAGTAGAAAAAAATTATCTTCTGCATTGTGAGTACTGACTGTTAAGTCAGTAATGGATCATTAATGGGCTTGAAAGATACAAGCATAGCTGGAAGTTTTATCTTAAAATTGTGGTGTACAGTGGCAGAATTTTTTTGGCACACAGCTCTCGTTTTTGTTTGTACCTTAAAATGACTGTAGTATGATTAAGGGGTGAATTTGACCTTGTTCACAGTATCCTATTAAACTTCTGCAAGAAAATGCTTTCCTTTAATTCGGCCATTCCTGCTATGGACAATCTAGTTAATGCTAAGGTTGCCTCTTGCTAGAGCAGCAAGATTAAATTCGTGAGTTTAAAACGCTCTGCTGAAATAACAGGACTTTTTAGTTTAAATGGAACTGCTTGCCAAAGGCCATTCTACAACTGTTCTGCCTAGCATCTTGATAGGAGTGGAAGAAGAGCAGGCTGCTTTCCAGGAATCAGACAATTGAAAAACCAGGGGGGTGGGGGTGCCGGGGTTCAAAGCTTGCAGATGGTTGCAGAACAGGCATTGGTAGTTTTTGCTTTCTGTTACCTGAAAGCCCTCCTCTACATTGAGTCTTGTTTATCATGGTTCTCATGCATATACCATTTCTCTGTTTATCTTAGGTATTCATTTCTATAAACCTAGAGTTAGGAAGCAGATTTTCTAAATAATAGCAGCAACTGGTTACATAGGATAGGCTTTGGCCATCCTACTGTTCATTAGACTCCACATTTGCTCAGACTTGCTCAGGTTGCCGTGGTTCTAAGATGATCCCGTACGGATAATGGAGACAGGAAAGTATCTTCATCACTCTACAAAGCAGTTGGAATGTCAGGAATTAGCAGGTCATTTAGGATGCCTCCCAGCTCAACTGAGTGGGTTATCTTGTTCTTTGCCTCTTCCTTTCCCCGTCATTATGGTGACGCTACCACTCTGATGTTGCCCAGTAACCCCCTCTGTGTTTCTCCCTGCCACTTGGCTTCTGCTGCCTTATGGCCTCTACTTATTGCTATTCCCACCCTGTTTGGTTTTAGGATCTATGAATGCTTGTGAAAAGACCTCATTTATGTTTCTGCGGCAAGAGCTGCCTGTTAGATTGGCAAATATAATGAAAGAAATAAGTCTTCTTCCAGATAATCTTCTCAGGACTCCATCAGTTCAATTGGTACAAAGCTGGTAAGATTCCCATCTTGTGTTTGCAATTTCAGTGGACTTGTAGCCTTGACTTAAGGTGAAAGCAAATACTTTCTTTTTTAACTCTTCAGTGGATTCAGAGCATTCCTCCTCCTTTTATGGGTGTGTCTAGGCTTGTGCCCTGAATCCTGGACTCTACCAATCCTTGACTTTGAAAAAAAAAAATCAGAACTACACAGAAATACGCACAATAACTTTATGATTTGTGTTATTGAATCTGCAGGATGTTATAATAAAAAATATCTATCATGTGTTGATGGCTAGGGGTTTATGTATATTACCTTTAATCCCTTCGACAACTCTGCCCATTAGGCATTATTATCTCCATTTTACAGATTAGGAAACTGAGGCGCCTACAGGTCTTTTGCCAAAGGCAGTACCACTCATAGTGGAGCTGAGATTCAAGCCCAGATTGGTTTCTTTCTACTATACCATGCTATAGTCAGAATGATAAAATGTGTTAAAGGGTGTATATATAGAATATATAGAGAACATATAATAGAATATGCTGCATTTTGAAATCTGATCTGTGTCTAAAATGTTGTAGGTGCTCAACTCTCTCTTGAATAAAGAGCATAGTTTTTCTTGCCAGTGAAAAGTAAGGGTTAAAGCAGATATCAGAATCACTTGACTTTGGAATGCTTTGGACTGTAGAGAGGCACATTGCTTGTCAAGAACAGGTTTCCAAACCAACATCTGGATTTACAGATTTTTACACTTTCATTGCCCCTGGATGCCTACTAAAGACAGTTGTAGATAAAGTTCCAACAGAGCAGCCAAAGCAGACCCTATATTATGGAAAGTCATTGAATAGTAGTGAAGTGTTTTCACCTCTGGCCCTGTACTGCCATCGTGCTTGGCAGCTTGACCTTGACAAAGTCATTTGGCTTTCCTCATTTTGCTCCGTCCTTAACAGGTGATTTGCCACCTTGAATTGTTAGGTAAATTAAAAACCTACATTTTCATGACTTTTGTTTTTGTTCAGCTCTATTTGAAAGAACTATGTGGTAAATTATAGGCTTTTAACAAATACTTGTTGACTGGACATAAGCTATTAACCTGGAGAGTGCATGCTTCTAAAGGATAACCACCTTCAGCTCCAGCCGATCATTGCCAATGCAGAAACACTATCCAGATCATCTGATTTTTGTGTATTTAAAGAAAAGTCACAAGTCTATATTTTTAATGTAAAATCTCCCAATTTTGAAAGATTGCAACTAATAAATTTTTTTTTTAAAACACTCAAGGCCTATATATACGGCGTATAAGGTTTTAAAGCTCAGGTTTTAAGTTAGACTCATAGACTGAGATAGGTGGGCCTCCACATTTTACTGAGACTAAGACAAGCTAAGTCATTGTCCCAGATCACATAGTTCATGGTAACAGACTCAGTTCTCATGACAATCAGCATTTATACTGTATAGTAGTAAGTTTAAGAAACTGAAAAGCTATCTTAGAGTATAGAACTTAAAAAAAAAAGAAGTAGGAAATCTTAAAATTATTATTTTAAAAGATTTTATTTATTAATTAGAGAGAGAGAGCGTGTTCACGCTGCACCAGCGTGTGCACAAGCACGGGAAGGGGCAGAAGGAGAGGGAGAAGCAGACTGGGGGCGGGGGAGGGGTGTTTGGTTCTATCCCAGGACCCTGAGATCATGACCTGAGCCGAAGGCAGCCACTTAACCAACTGAGCCACCCAGGCCCCCGAAATCTTGAAATTCTTAAATCAAATTTAACCTATGTTTTTAGGAGAAAATGCACCTTCTCCTACTTTGTGCCAGGCACTTTGCTTAAATGTGAATGGGTCTAAAAATCCTACTTCAACCATAATTTGTAGCACTATTCTAAATTAAAAATTAAAAGATGTTAAAATTAAAAATACCTTTTTAGTATTTTCACAATATTGAACTTTCAAAATGTAAAAGAACAAATTTACCCTACTGATTTGCATTTTAGGTATATCCAGAGTCTTCAGGAGCTTCTTGAATTTAAAGACAAAAGTGCTGAAGATGCTAAAACTATTTATGAGTAAGTGCACTATTTTGACCCTATTCTGAATACAATTTTTATACTCTTAAAATGTCATATAAAATAAGTGTGTTGAGCTTAAACCTGCTATTGGGTCACTTTAGGGAAATTAACTTTAGTTTCTCTCCACTCCAGAACATATGATAGTATATGTGTCTACAGCAGCTCATACAGGTACGGCAAATACTGTAAATCAGTAAATATAAGAAAAGACACAATTCAAGTGTGATCATCAGTGGAAATCTAGATGTGGCCTCAGTGCCATTCGGATGATAGGGGACTGGTGAGGACTCTTCACTTAGGGAAGAGTCACCTTCAACTCCAGCATGCCACCTTCAGCTCCCTCCAATCATTGCCAATGCAGAAACACTATCCGGATTGTCTGATTTGTGTGTGGGGGTTTAAAGAAAAGCAGTAAGTTTAGATTTTTAATGTAAAACCTCCCAGTTTTGAAGATTGCAACTAATTAAAAATTTTTTTTAAATTTAAAATACTGAAGGCCTATAAAAACGTGTCTGTGGGTCTCACTTTATGACCTCTGGCCTGTAAGATAACAGAAGTAATATAACCAATTTAATAATCAGCATACCCGAATTGATAAACCCAGGTAGTCCTCTCAGGCAATTATCTACTTATTCCAATGAATGTTGCTCAGAACTTAAAGACCACTTCTTTTGTAGTCCTCAGAGTTTATTACTTTTTTTTTTTTTACTGTCTTTAAAGATGATGGCAACGTTTCACTTTTTAAACATGTATTGGTCTGAAAATAACATCAAGGATTTACTCTCTGCCTAGGTATGAAGCACACTGTGTATTTAATCTTTAAAACAATGCTATTGAGTTAATGCTGTCTGTGCACAAAGAAACTTAAGGTAGCATTAAAATCAAATAGCCAACCAGTGGTAGGATCAGGATTTGAACCCAAGCCCTCTTAAAAATAAATGTTATGCTACAGAACCTTCTGAAAATGGTTAGTCAGAGCTGAATCTAAAAAATGAGGAGAGCAATCAAACGGAATAATACTCTTTGGGGTTTTAAAACAAAGGGGTGACTAGAAATGATGAGTTGTTTGTTGTTTTTGAGGAGTTTTGTTGTTTGTATTTGGGATTATTAGTTTGGTTTTGAAGCAGATTACAAACTAGGAATTCCAAAAATATTTTGAGCCGTGAGAGCATCATTGGAATAAGTTAATAGTACTCAAGATGATGACTTTGAATGAGAAAGCACTCATTCAGAAGTGTATATTCAGATGGGTATGTTACAAGATGGATTTTGTTATTTCATAATTAAGACTTCTTTTCTCTTTTATTTAGGTCTTTAAATTAACCATGCAGTAATGTCTTCTAAATGACAGAAGTGGGAAAGCTGGATGACCTGAAAATTTTTCTTTTAACACAACAGTCGACTTTTCCTTTCCCATTTTTAAACTTAATAGGATTAATGAAATTAGAATTTCTTTTACTTTTCTGTTCTTAGTGGTTCTTTCTCTCTTGGAACAATAGGGAATAGTTCCCAAACAGGCAGGCTTTATTGGCTTATTCATCCTTATTCCTTACAGAGCACGTATTCCCTAGCAGTAAGCACTCTGTCTTCTCTTAATGCTGAACGTCCGTGGAACACTGTCCTCATTGGGAGTGCTTAGATGCTCTGAGCTGATAATGGTTAAAGAAAACCCTTTTGCCATTTTTAGGATAGTCTTCTGTGGCAGCCTTACTCTTAGGGGTCCCAAGGAAATAAGTTTCAAAAGTTTTATTTTGGAGGTTTTTGTACTGTCATAGAGTCCATATATTTATGAGCTGAAATTTATTTAAATAAGCATAAGAAAACATACATCAGTGATCTTTTTACTGAATTGGGGATTTCTTGCCTAGTATAGGTTAGTGAAACTTAGATTTTAGTATTAAATTCACTTGTCAAAACATTTGGCTGTTTTGACAAGTCAGGCTTGTTTAGCTTTACAGATACTGTGATTCGGATCAGGAACCGACACAATGATGTTATTCCCACAATGGCCCAGGGTGTGATTGAATACAAGGAGAGCTTCGGGGTGGATCCTGTCACCAGCCAGAATGTTCAGTACTTTTTGGATCGTTTCTACATGAGTCGCATTTCAATTAGAATGTTACTCAATCAGCACTGTAAGTATCCAGAAGTCGAGAGAAGAAGCAAAATAAAATGAATATGTTGGTATATTTTAAATTTATTTAGAAAACTTCCCTTTAGTAAACATTTAATTTTACTTTTTTGCGTATTAAGTAAATTGCATGCAAAGGAGGTATTTTTATTGAATGTAAAATACTATGTTTGTGTTTAAGGAAAATATCTATTCTACTGTTTGGTACCATTTAGAGAAACAGTCTTCAAATCTGGAAAAGGGCATTAGAGAGTTTAGCTTATTTTGTTTGTTTTTTTATTTTTATTTTTTTGATAGCTTTATTGTTTGGTGGAAAAGGAAGCCCAGCTCATCGAAAACACATTGGAAGCATAAATCCAAACTGCAATGTTGTTGAAGTTATTAAAGGTAAATATTTATATTTCTCCTTTCAGGAAGGACGCAAAAATCAAAATGTTCAGTGTTATTTCTTGCTATTAAAACAATTATTTGTATCTTGAGATTAAAATGTTAGGAGCAAATGTATGGATTTGAAAATAATTTTATGATGTTAATTGTACATTATATATAGGATGAATATTTTGTTGATACAATGCTTTCTTAGGCAAAGTATAGTGATAATATGAGGGTATCTGTTTCACTTCAAAAAGTATATAATACCCTTTACTAGGAGCCATAATTCATAATAGTTTGGTTTGCATTTTTCCATACTTTTTTCTGTTATACCACATATATACATATGTAATTGTTGTTCTTACATTGTTTGTTTTTGGAAAATGGGGTGCTGTATATATATTTTTCTACAAGTTTATAGCCGTCATTCCACGTTCAGTACATATGGACATACCTCAGGTTTTTGAATGGCTTAATGGGTTTATTATAATGTATTAATCCATCCTTCTGTTGCTACATATTTAGGTTGTTTTCATTTTTTTTTTATTACCAACAATACTGCAGTGAACATCTTTAGATAGTGCTGACTTTGCTAGTATTTTAGAAAGCAAGATTCCTAAAATTTAAGACATTTAAATGCATTTAAAATTTTATACCTCCAAAAAAGTATCAAACAATGAATCAGAGTGTCTGTATCCTAAACTTTCACCAACTCTACATGTTTGTTATGTATATTGTAAATAGTTTCTTTACCTTGCTGTTTTTACTTTGTTTATGGTGTCTTTTTCTATTTGGATGTTTTTATTTTCTTTTAATCATATCTGTCATTTTTCCTTTATGGCTGTTAGGTTTTGTCATGTCATACTTAAGAAGACCTTCCCTAAACTAAGATAATTAAAGTATATTTTCTTCTATAGACAGTTTTAAAATTTCATGTATCAATACTGTTGCCACCTTAATGCATGATATAGAAGTAAATTTATTTTAATGCTTTTTTTTGTTTTGATTCACATTAGATGGCTATGAAAATGCTAGGCGTCTGTGTGATTTGTATTATATTAACTCTCCTGAACTAGAACTTGAAGAACTAAATGGTAAGCCTTGATGGTGTCTTTTCCTCAGTGATTAGTGTTGTGATTATCTGAGAAGGAATGATAAGAAGAATTTAAATATGTCTTAATATTAAAGGACTTTTCATCAACTTCTTTACTGAATATAAAAGCTGAGGGAGAGCAGTCATGTTAAGAATGTGTGTGTGTGTGCGCGCGCGTGTGTAATTTAGTTGGTTCTGTCTGAAAAGCATTTTGGCTTCTTCCCTATTTTGTTTATATTTAATTGATAATGATTCTTATTTTTGTTTCTGTTTTTGGTTAGTTATAGAAAAAAAAATGATGCCAAGAAAATTACATTTGACTGTTATATGCACTTCGATAATGTAGAATTCACCCTTCAAGAATTCTGCTTCCTGAGTAGTGAATCATTTTTTTATTGTTGAGGAAGTAAAAAGACTGGAGGTGTAAAGAGGAAAGAAAAATGCTCATCTGTTTGAGAATCTGTTTATCTCTGATGGTCTTTTCACCCTGACTAGTGCCTTTTGGACAAAAAAAATCAGATGTCTTGGAAGGAGGTTGATAAGTGTCACTGTGTTTCTGTGGGGGTGGGGTAGTTTGTAGAGGGAAAAACAGTTACTAAGTTAAGATGTCCCTTTAAGAAGAATAAAATTAAGTAGGCTTTTCCTAAGCTGTATTCTGGACCTTATAGTGGGAGAGCAATGGAAGAAGTTCTTCAATTGAAAATAGAATTGCTTGGTGTTTTTCTAAAGCCATATTAACTCTTTTGTTTCATAATAATACCATTCAGTAAAGAATCACAATGCACAAATGATAGTTTAGGAACCTGAACTGTGAGCAGTTTCCAGGTGTCCCATCCATGTTTCCACGGGGCGGTTTATTCAGAGGAGAGTCCAATTTATTGGATCAATTAGAATTCTAAGGTATGGTGAGTCTTACTCCTTTGCTCTACTAAAAGTTCTGTTTTACATACTACCTGCCCGCCTCCCACCTCTGCCACTGCATCCCCAGCTGGGCTTCTAAATTTAATAAAATGTTTGAATGTAGAATTCATATCCCTTGATAAATTGATGCTAGCTTAATTTAATTCAGATCTGTATCCATAGAAATGCCTGAAATAAAACAGAAAACATTGCACATGGATGAAACATTTAAAAAATGGCTTTAAAAAATAGCATATTTATGTGAGTTGGACCGTGGAACTTATAGACTTAACACTTTTGTTTTGGAAAGTAAAATTCTGACCTTAAGGCTGAGAGTCCTTTTAAAAGACTCACCATCATAGAGAAAATGGGAAACTGGATTGGCTAGATGGTTACGCAGGGTCACAAAAAGGACTGAAAATCATGTGTCACCATCAGTTATAAATCTATGTGAATGTGGGGTCAAACACTAATACAGTGAAGAACTGGGGTGACAGTTCTCCCCCCCAAATACTACTACCCTCCATAGTCAATGTTTTCTTTTCATCACTACACAATATATTCTTAAAAATGCTTTAAGCACATCTCTCTGTACTTTTATATTTTTCTCTTCTGCTCTGTAGCAAAATCACCAGGACAGCCAATACAAGTGGTTTATGTACCATCCCATCTCTATCACATGGTGTTTGAACTTTTCAAGGTTTGTAAAATAGTATTACATAACCTTTATTAGTCCTTTCCTGAGGTTAGGGATCTGCTCTGAAAGTTAAGTACTCTACCAGGTTTTCCTCCGTTTCATTTAAAGATGTCATTTCATGCTTGGTGTCATGTCACGTTGCTGGAGATCAGCCTTTTGTCCACACTGATGGGCACTTCATTGTAGTGGTAAGCTCATACTTGGAAGTCAGGAAGAATTGGGTCTGAATTCCAGTTCTGCCACTTAATCTCTGTGTGACGTTGGACAAATTGGTCAACCTTTTTGAGCCTGCGTTTCCTCTTCTGTTAAATGAGGATTAATACTATCCGGGTTATTATGAAAATTGGGAGTAGCAGACTAAGTGTCCAGTACAATGGCAGCTCAGTGTAAGTGCTCAGTAAAGGTCTATTTTTCAAAACAGAGTATTTAGAAGAATGATTCTCAATTTTCCACCCTTAGAAGACCAGAGTCCCACTATTATATATAATGTGGAGTTTTTTGAGAAAGTCATTTATATTGACTTACGGGCTTTTGCTATTATATTTGCTCTTTACAACAAATTTCAAAAACTAAATAAAATTATGCTAGAAATGTTAAGAGTACTTTTTCCCCCCAATAACACACCAATGACACTGGCTGATAGACGGAAAAGTGAGTGATGAAGAGTGGTACAGGTCCTTGTGGCTGAAAATGACTACTCTAAATCAAGCCTATATAGTCAGTCTCTCTTCCTTTAGTTACCATGTCTTCAGCCAGCAGCCAACTAGTAGAGAGCCGAGGTGGCTTTCAGTCTGATCATGAAAAAGAAAAATACACTGAAACACAGAAAATCTGACTGAATTCTTAGAACAACAAGAGTTCAAGAAGGCTCTTTTGTTCCTAGGACAGCATACAAAAATTTTTCTATCAAAGTGGTTAAATAAATAAGTGATTGGCGCTTAAAGTATTAAAATTAATTTTTTCCTTGAAATTTCAGTTACTAAAGATCTTATTCCCCATGATGCTTAATAAAAGAAATATGACTATATTCTATAATAGATTTTACATAGTGTCATTAATAATGGCTTTCATCTGGAACCTAATCTTATTAATAGCCTTTGGTAGAGATGATAGCATCTTTTTCTCAGGGATACCCAACCCTGATGAGTGTGCAGGGCCACACACTCTTATTTCCAAATTCAGTCCCATCTTTTGCCTTTTTAATTATACCTAGTTTTATCAGTTTCTACTCCAGTGCTACATGTCATGGGATCTTTTAGTGCTTATACCATGTTGGCATTGTATACCATGTATCCTTTAGGAATTGATCGAAACAGTTTTACAGTGTAAATATCCTTAGTTTCAGACTAGTGGTGAATTAGCTTAGTTTCTACATCATAATAAGACCATTGCAAGGAGTGCTATATGAAAATTTTTTTTCCTTCAAAGTAATTAATGGCAATTAAAAGGATTCTTAAAAATAGAGACAAAACTCTTTTCAAAAATAAGGTTTGCTTCCTATCTTCTAAATTATAAAAGTATTTGGATAGAATTTTTGTCTTCAATGTAACCTAGTCAAAGTGTTGAAATGCCTGGTTTTGGAAAATGAGCAGAATGTAATTGAAATCTTTAAATCAAAGTATCTCACAAGTCCTCCAAAATGGACAATAATTTTAAAAATTCTTTAAATATAATTATAAGAATTGTGATACTTTGGCATATTTCCAGCAAATTAAAAATTTTTAAATTTCAAATCGTGCATATATATTTGAAAATTATAATTAGTTTCTCTTTTTTTAATCTTGTATTTGAATGGAACCCTAATGTATTTCAGAATGCAATGAGAGCAACAATGGAACACCATGCTGACAAAGGTGTTTACCCCCCTATTCAAGTCCACATCACACTGGGAAATGAGGATTTGACTGTGAAGGTAAATGCTTTCTGGCTTGTTTTAATTGATGTACACGCATGTACATAATTTCCTGAAGACATAACTTATTCTTGGGAGAAAGAAATCCTGTCTCTAATAGCTAATCAGCACATTGCTTCATTTATCTGGCAGATTCTGGAAATTATCCCCTGAGTCTGTTTCTATTCCGGTCCATAATCCAGATGATTCAAGTAAAAGTAAATCCTGAAGACAGACAGTTGAGCAGTAATCATGAATATCCACTTGGATAAGTAAAAGCTAAAATATTTGAGTGTTTACAGTGTTACATAGTATATAATGTTTCATTTTTAAACAATGTTTTTCAGTCTACTTTTATGTTGTTTCATTTGCTTCTCATAAAAGCTCCTTACTTAGGAGCACAGGTAATCTTATTGTTGATTTTACAGATGAAGAAACTGAGACACAGTGAGTCACTCATAATTACACAGCAAATAAATGCCACAGAACATGAAATCAGGCTCTCTGACCCCAGGCTTTTTCCACTGCATTGTTAAGATAGTCCAATTTCTTAGAGTATGATGATTCTCTTTTTTAAATAATCATTTTAAATTTTGTTTTGGAGTAATAAATGCAAAGAGTGTAAAAAATCAAATACATTAGTTTCTGGCCATTTGTAGGTCACTATTCAGTCTTTTATTTTTTCTGGGATTTATTGGTATATTTTTAAGTAGGATTCTGATATCACTACTTCTGAAATATAACAATTTTCAACAGCAAATATTAGCTCTCTGTGAAGGTAGGTGAGGAGTTAGTCTGTTAGAGCACCTCCCCTCCCCAACCCAGCCTCAACTGCTATTTTCCCAGTATTTAAATTCATACATAAAATTCTAGATTGAAAATAATCATCTTGCAGAATTTGAAGGCCTTCTACTGTTCCTTATTTTAAAAGCATATAATTCAATTACTCAGCCATCAAAAAGGAATGAAATCTTGCCATTTGCAATGATGTGGATGGAGCTAGAGCAGATTATGTTAAGCGAAATAAGTCAGAGAAAGACAAATACCATATGATTTCACTCATATGTGGAATTTAAGAAACAAAACAGATAAGCATATGTGGGTGGCGGGGCGAGAGAGAGGGAAACAAACCATAACAGACTCTTAAGGATAGAGAACAAATTGAGGGTTGATGGAGGGAGGTGGGTGGGGGGTGGGCTAGATGGGGGTGAGTAGTAAGGAGGGCACTTGTTATGATGAGCACTGGGTACTACTGTATGTAAGTGATGAGCCACTGAATTCTACTCCTGAAACCAATATTGCACTGTATGTTCACTAACTAGAATTTAAATAAAATTTTGAAAAAAAAAGTGTATAATTCAGTGTTTTTAAGAATATTCACAAGGTTGTGCTACCATGCTACTGTCTAATTTCAGTACATTTTCATCACTCTCCAAAAAACCTCCATACCCATTAGTAGTCACTCCCCAATTTCTCCTTCTCCCCAGTCCTTGGCAACTACTAATCTGTGTATGGATTTCCCTATTTTGGACATTTCATAAAAATGAAATTCTATAATATGTGGTCTTTTGTGACTGACTTCTGCCACTTAATGTAATGTTATAGCAGGTATCAGGACTTCCTTTTGTGGTTGAATGATACTCTGTAATATGGGTATGACACATTTTGTTTATCCATTCATCAAGTTGATGAACATCTGGGTTTTTTCCATTTTTGGGGTGTTAGGAATAATGCTGCCATTCATGTAGAAGTCTTTGTGTGAACATAGGTTTTCTTTTTTTAAAGATTTTATTTATTTATTTGAGAGAGAGAATGAGATAGAGCATGGGAAGGGGGGAGGGTCAGAGGGAGAAGCAGACTCCCCGCTGAGCAGGGAGCCCGATGCAGGACTCGATCCCGGAACTCCAGGATCATGACCTGAGCCGAAGGCAGTCGCTCAACCAGCTGAGCCACCCAGGCGCCTGAACACAGGTTTTCATTTGTCTTATGTATACACATAGGAGTTGAACTGCTTATAGGTAACTGTTTAGGTTTTGAGGAACTGCCAAACTGTTTTCCAAAGTGACCCTCCCATTTTACATTCCCACCAGCACTGTATGAAAGTTCCAATTTTTCCACATCATTGTCAACATTTGTTAGAATCAGTCTTTTTGATTATAGCCATTCTAATGGGTATGAGTGATATCTCACTGGTTTTGATTTGTGTGAGAGATAATGGTGAGCATCTTTTCATGTGCTAATTGGCCATTTGTCTATCTTTGAAGAAATGTCACCTAAGATCCTTTGCTCAGTTTTTAGGTGGATTGTCTTTTCATTGTTGCATTGTTAAGAGTTATCTTTCTATATATATTTTTTATTATAGATACTAGTTCCTGATAAGATATGTGATTTGAAAATGTTCTATTCTGTGGCTTATCTTTTTACTTTTTTTTTTAAAGATTTTTATTTATTTATTTGAAAGGAAAGAGACGGTGCGTGTGCGTGTGTGTGTGAGAGAGAGAGAGAGAGGGAGGAGAGAGAGAGAGAAAGACAGCACGTGAGCAGGGGGAGGCGCAGAGGGAGAGGGAGAAGCAGACTCCCTGCTGAGCAGGGAGCCGGATGCCGGGTTTGACCCCAGGACCCTGAGATCGTGACCTGAACCAAAGGCAGGTGCTTAACCAACTGAGCCACCCAGGCACCCCAGTTTTATTCTTCTTTAAATGCTTGGTAGAATCTACCAGTGAAGCCATCTGGGCCTGAGTTTGTGTTGTAAGATTTTGATAATTAGTTCAGTCCCTTCATTTATTATCAGTCTGTTCAGATTTTCTGTTTCTTTTTTTTTTCTTAAGATTTATTTTAAAGAGAGGGAGGAGTGTGCAGGTGGGAAGGAGAGGTAGAGGGAGAAGGAGAGAAACTCAAGCGGACTCTGCTTGCTGAGCGGAGCCTGATGAAGGGCTTGATCTCATGACCCTGAGATCATGACCTGAGCTGAAATCAAGAGTCGGACACTTAACTGACTGAGCGACTCAGGCGCCCCATATCTTCTATTTCTTCCTGAGGTAGTTTCTGTAGTTTGTGTCTTTCTAGGAATTTGTACATTTCACCTAGATTGTCTAATTTTTTGGCTTAGAATTGTTCATAGTATTCACTCATAATCCTTATTTTTGTAGGATTGCTAGTAATGTCCCCACTTTCATTCTTGACTTTATCAATTTGAGTCTTCTCCCTTTCTTCTTGATCAGTCTAGCTAAAAGCTTGTCAATTTTGTTAATCTTTTCAAAAAACCAACTTTTGTTTTCTTGAGCTTTTGCCATTGTTTTCTATTCTTTATTTCATTAATTTCCCCTCTAATGTTTCTTTCTTTTGCTTGCTTGTTTTGGAGTTAGTTTGATCTTTTTTAGTTTCTTTCTTTCTTTCTTTTTTTTTTTTGTTAAGGTGGGAATTTAGGTTATTCATTTAAGACCTTTTATAGCTATAAATTTCCCTCTAAATACTGCTTTCTCTCTATCCCATAAGTTTTTTTATGGTGTGTTTTCATTTTCACTTATCTCAAAGTATTTTCTAATTTCTCTTCTGATTTCTTTGACCCATTGGTTCTTTAGGAGTATGTTGTTTAATTTGTATATATTTGCTAATTCCTACATTTTGTTCGTTATTGATTTCTAATTTCATTCTATTATGGTCAGAAATATAGTATGTTTGATTTCAGTTCTTTTACATTTATTGAGACTTGTTTTATGGCTAACATATGGTCTATGGAGAATGTTACATATCTTGGAGAATGTTTATGTATACCTGAGAAAAATGTGTATCCACTGTTGTTGGATAGAGTGTTCTATAGATAGTACTTAGGCCTACTTTGTTTATAGTGTTGTTCAAATCTTCTGTTTTCTTGTTGATCTTCTATCTAGTTGTCATATCCATTTTTGAAAGTGGGGTATTAAAATCTCCCAACTATTATTGTGACTTGTCTATTTCTCTTTAATTCTGTCAGTTTTTGCTTCATGTATTTTGGAGCTCTGTTGTTAAAATGTATATATGTTTATGATTTTATGTCTTTGATATATTGGCCTTTTATCATTGTAAAATGTCCTTCCTTGTCTCTGATAATAATTTTTGTCTTAAAGTGTATCTTTATCTGTTATTTGTATAACCATACCAGCTTTCTTTTGGTTTCTGTTTCCACAGTGTATCTTTTCCCAAGATTTTACTTTTTTTTTTTTTAAGATTTTATTATTTTTTCAGTAATCTCTATACCCAATGTGGGGTTTGAATTCATAGCCGTGAGATCAAGAGTCACATACCAGTCAGGTGCCCCCCAAGATTTTACTTTCAACCTGTTTTTGTCTTTGAATCTAAAGTGTGTCTCTTATAGACAACATATGGTTAGATTATGTTTCTTTATTTTTTAATCCAGCTGGCCAGTGTCCACCTTTTAATTGGGGTGTTCAAGTCAGTTGCATTTAACATAATTAGTGTTAATGTAGAATTTAGGTTTGCCATTTTGTTATTTGTTGTGTATGTATTTTATGTCTCTTCTGATTCTTTATTTCTCTATTACTAATGCCTTTTTTGTTAAAAATGATATTTTCTGGTGTACCATTTTCATTTCCTTCTTGTTTCTTTTATCATATTTCTTTAAGTTATTTTCTTAGTGGTTGTCCCAGGATTACAATTAACATATTAATTTATTTATAACAACCTCGTTCAGATTAATACCAACTTAACTTCAATAGTATACACAGGTTTTGTTCCTATATAGGTCCATTCCCTCCCCCTTCCCATCCTTTGTACTGTTATTGTCATGAAACATACGTTTTTATACATTGTATGTTCCTCTACACAGATTTATAATTATTATTCTCTTAAATTGTCTTTTAAATAAGGTAGGAGAAAAAAGTTACAAAAATACACCTACACCATCCTTCATATCTACCTATGTAATCACTTTTCCTGGTGTTCTTTATTTCTTCATGTGGATTTGATTTACTGTCTAGTGTTCTTTCATTTCAGGCTGAAGGATTCCCTTTAGTATTTCTTTG